CAAAAGGGTGATTAGAACTTTGATTTTGGAAAGTTACAAATGGACTAAGGGTCCAGATGGAATTGAAATAAGAATTTGGAATTAATTGTAAAAATCTTGCCTGTGGGAAAATTATTTTGAATTCTCTTTAAGAAGTGATAGGATGAGACTTTGAAGGTTGGACACTAGAGGAAACCAGAAGGAACTAAAAATTACAATTAAAGAACATTTAAATTTAACTTACTAATACAGAATGGAGCAAATACTTTAACACTGGATGATATTTTTGAACAGTGGACCCAGAAGTTAATTTTAAGAGGGTCTGCCATTATAGATAGACTGTGTTTAAAAGATGTTATGGAAGAGGAACAAGTTTTACCTGACAAGACAGACTGATATGAAAGTGGATTTAAAAATGACAGGCTACAAGAATGATATGGAAAAAGATGCTACACTGGACATACAAAAGAAACCAGCTGATGCCTTAAGAATTAAAAGGGATGTACAAATAGCAAACCAAAAGAGTGTCCTGGATAACTTTCCTATATTGGATTTACAAAAGAATCTTGTTAAAGTTTTAAAGAATTTTGTGAGAAGGGACAAATCAAGTTCTAGGACATTATCTGAAGGGATTAAAGATCAAGATCATTAAAAGTAAAAGGAAGGAATATAAAGTTGGTTTATTTGATCAAGGTTGAAATAGATATGTTATCTCCCTTAATGTACTTAGTATACTTTTGCTGATTAGGACTGAATGATGAGGCTTTAATTATTGTTTATAGATAAGAGATGGGAAATGGGAAGAAGAGATTATTTGTTGTATTTTAAGAGAAGGTGATAAGCTACTAAAATTGTTTATACTTGTGATGAAGGGGAAGTCATTTCTTTATATATTTTTCTGTAAAATATTCTTATTTTTTCTTTTCTTTCTATATTTTTTTCTTTTCACATTCTATTTTTTCTTTTTATTCCTTTTTTTAGTTTGAATAAGTTTTTATCTTTTTAATTGTAATGTTTAATAAAATTACTATTTAAAAAAAGACTTACATGCATAGGGTTAAATGGAATGTGAGAACCGTAGATATGTATATATAGCCTTACCCCAATATTCCTAGAAATACATGCAAGGTACCCCCCCCCCTCCAATATCCCCATCCACACAGCTTGGGGAAGGAAGTTGTGCATTTTAGGTGATTGTGCTCCTAGCCTTGTATTTCATGTCTTGCTTTGGGGTTTTCTGAAAATGTTTGAACCTGCCAGTCTCTACATGAAGACCCTAATTACCCTTTCTGATTCAGCACATCATTAAGTTCCTGGATCAGATTTCAGCTACAAACTAGGCAGCCTTCAGCATCATTTTTCTTTCAGTCTCACCTGTCCATCTGGACTTTGCAGATAATAATGCCCACTTAATCTATAACAATTGCCTATTTTTAAAATTTAAACATGTAATTTTCCAGAGGTGTTTTCTTAGGCAGGGGGATAGCAAAATGGAAGAAGGCTATTATCTCTTATTCTGGACTCAGTAAATTTTTTAGAAAGATAATTTCCAGTGGCTCCTGTGTATTTATGCAATAATAGCTTCAGGTAACTCCAGTATCTGATTTGTACTAAATGCCATCAGTAGCAATGCTGGCTGTATCCATGCCAGTTTGGTGTGGTGGTTAAGGTGCTGGCCTAGAAACCAGGAGTGTGAGTTCTAGGCTTCCCTGAGGCATGAAAGCTGGCTGGGTGACTTGGGGCCAGTCCCTCTCTCTCAGCCCAACCCACCTCACAGGGTGGTTGTTGTAGAGAAAATAGGAGGAAGAAGGAGTATTAGCATGTTTGCCACAGAGAGAAAAAGAGAAGGTGGGATAAAATTATAATAATTCTGTTTATTTCTTTCTAGGTAATAACCTTGATGCTATCCATGACATAACCGTGGCATATCCTCAAAACATTCCACAAACTGAGAAGCATCTCCTATATGGAAATTTCCCCAAGGAAATTCATTTTCATGTCTGCAGATACCCCGTAGAGTCCCTGCCAGCCTCTCGGGAAGACTTGCAACTCTGGTGTCAGAAACGCTGGGAAGAAAAAGAAAAAAGGCTCCGCCAGTTCTATGAGGGCAAAAAGTACTTTGATGTGACAGGGAGAAGTAAAATCCCACCTTGTAAATCTGAGCTCAGGGTCATGGTTGTTAAGTGCATGTCCCTCTTGTACTGGACATTTTTCACACTCTCTGCATTTGCACTGTTATACATGTACAACTTTGTACGGTGGTATTTTGTGATTGTGGTTGTCATTTTCACTGTGCAACAAAAGCTGTTTGGTGGGCTTGAATTGCTGGAACTTGCATGTCATCGATTTTTTAATAGACGTAGATTACCCAACTTAAACAGATATTAAATTTATCTGATATGTGTACTGGTTGGATGGGTGATGTTTGTGAGCACTTTTCATATGTGCCATAAACTTTTCATAGTGGAAGGAGATTTTGCATGAGAATTAATCTTTCTTAATGCTGTTTTGGTTAATGCACTGTACTCTTATTGTAAAGGACAAAAGTTCATATTGAATTTTTAATTTTTGAATGTATCAGTGTTCCTCTTGCAGCTAGCATCTGCAGCATCACTGGAGAAGCATTTGCTGACCAATCAAAGTTTATATCCATTGAATTGTTTAAATACATAGCTCTAAATTGCTGGGCAAATTAGGGAGCTAAAAGTCACGGACTCTGATTCTTACACTGCCTTGCTATAAATACAGTGTGAGATTTGAAAGTCCCAGCTTATTACATGATTAATAGTTGACTGTCTTCATTTCTGTACCTTTATCCCTTACACAGAGATAATGGATGATGCAATTATTGTCATCAGAATCAGCAAATGTTCTAGTCTACTGAAAGAGAAAACTAAACCCAGGACCTAAAGTTGGATGAATGTGGATAGTCCGTTTCAACATGCTGTTTGTCACAACTGAACTATTATAACTCACCCTATTTTGGAAAAAAAAAAAATCCAAAAGTCAATAGGGCTTATCTCTAAGTAAAGGCACTGGTAAAGGTAACTGAACTGGTCACTGTTGTCTTTGCAAATACTAAATCACCTTCAGGATCCAATTCCACCCCTGTGAATTGTTTGTCATATGCCGAGATCACAGTCCATCTCAACTTCAGGTTTAACTGGGGGAAGCGTTAAAATTAATTTTCCCATGATATAAAAATAGAAATAATGTTAAAAAGTGCCCCATTGGGATTATTAATATAAGAAACGTTAAGATTTTTCCATTAATGTTCATCTCCTTTTCAAAAATCTGAATTAGAATACCCATAGCATGGAAACCAAAGGACATCTGTGAAATCAGCCCATGCTTGACCATAAGCAGGCCCCAAATGCTGTGACTCTACATAATGAGCTAGATATTTTCTTTGAAATTTCCTAGTTGAACCCTTTTTTCTTTCTATGGCTGAACATCTTCCCTCCAGCTCTTTTTCACAGAATTAGGCTGAATTCTTGAACTGGCTGCAATTGATCACGGCATCTTGACACTTGAGACAACAGGCCAGGACATTTCTCTTCCCTGCACTGAATGTTAGTAATACCAGAGCTATAAGGCAGCACATATAATACTTCATGTAGATAGTATTCATATAATACTTCATGTTCACCATATTAAATGTAATGGCTACTTCCACATCTTTTTCAACCCCTATTGCACCTACAGTAAGTTTTCAGAGAACCATTTTATAAATAAATTGTATTAAGAGCTGCTGGCATATGAAAGGTCTATAAACTGGTCTTAGATTTCCAATGTTATCAAAATGTCAATGTTTTAGCCATAAAAAATATTTACTCTAGAGCAACAATAAAGAATTAAAAATGCAAATTGGTTTAATTTTATTGCATTCTTCAGCTATTAATTTAATTTATATGACCATCTACTTAACCAAGTATTTCTGGGTGGCTAGCAGAACAACATAAAAGCCATAAAACAATATAATTTTTAAAAAATTAATTCTAATCAAGATTCCTTGCAAAACTGTCTCATGACTCAGAACAGAACACACACACTGGGCTCCACTGACATCCTGACTACATTGAGAAGAAAACATACTGTTCAAAGCCTTCCAGAAGACTGACAGGGCTGTCCTAATCTCAAGGAGGAGGCTGTGACAGAATGCGCTGCTCTTAGGTCCACTAGGTGACATGGTTTCACAGAAGGCATCCCAAGCATGCCCATTCTGCCAGATCTGGTGGGACTGACTGAAATAATTGGATACTGGTAGTCCTGAAGTATTCTAGCCTTGTGCCATGCAGGACTTTAGATGATAACTGGCATTTTTAATGCACCCAGAGCCACAGTGTTAGGTGGGTGTACCATGGTATACCCAAAACTGCAGATGTGCTACTATATTCTGGACCAGTTGCCTCTTCAAATTGTTTTTCAAGGATGGCCCCATGTATTCTGTAGTCTAACTAGGAAGTGACTAAGGCATGAGCCTCCAGGAATGGGTGCAACTGGTACACAAGATGGATTTGTGCAAACCCTGGCCATGGCTGCCACCTGATCTTGATCAGTAGCCATGAGTCCAGATGGATTGCCAACTTGTACACCAACTCTGGGGGAGTGCTACCTCATCCAGAGTTAATAATGGAAAACCTCCTAATTCAGGGGCCCTAAAACCCACAGCCACTTGGTCTGGGTAGGGTTGTGTCAAAGCCTGTGCTTTCCCACCCTGATCCTCACAGCCTCCAGACACTCAGAACTTTGATGGCATCATTTGGGGCAGAGATGTATAAACGAGTATCATCAGCATACTGATTATACTTAACCCCATGATGATGAATGACCTTGCCCAGTGGATTCATGTAGATATTTAATATGGGTAAAGAGAGAGTCAAGGCTTGAGGCAGTCTGAAAACAGAGGCCTAGGGCTTGATCTCTTCTCCCAACATCATTTGGAATTGGCCTTAGAAGAAGGAGGAAAACCCCTTCAAGGAGGGCTAAGATAGAGGTACCACCTCTATCCCAAGCCTGCCAGAGGTTATCCAGAAGTGTGATCAATGCCATCTCAAGTGCTATAACTTGGAGTGAAACCTGCCTGGCCATAATTGGTTTCCTCCAGGGACTTTGGAGTTGCAAGCCTATCACTTTTTTAATAACCTTCCCTAAGAAAGAAAGTTGGAGACTGGACAAAAATTGTCCAGTACTGTTGGATTCAGACATAGCTTCTTAAGGAGAGGGTGAACCACCAGTTCCTTTAAAAAAAGAGCCATCCCTTCTTGCAAAGAAGCACTCATCACTGTTTGGATCCACTTACATGACATTTCCTGAGGGATCTTGCCCAACCAGGAAGGACATGGATCTAAAACACAAGTGGCAGGACTCAAAGCTCTAAAGCCCCTGTCCATTTCCTCAGGACTAACAGGCTCTAACTCTCTCCAGATAACTAAGCCAGACTGTGTCTCAGTCAATTCCATAGGACCTGCATAGCCAGAATCGGAGCAAATTCAAGTGACTTTATTTGACAGGTGCTTGAAATAGTCCTCACCAGAGCCTGAATGCAGCACTGGTACCAAGAATCAAGGCTGCCTTCCCTGAGAACAGCCCACTCCCTGCGTCCCATCATATGTCCCCATGCCCTCCATCACCACTGTCTGCTCTCATCCCTCATAACACCCATCACCCCTGATGCTTGCCCTCCCTCCCCCACATCAAAGGGGCCCATCATACATAGATGGCACATTCCTGCCATGTAAGATTAACATAAGATTAAAAGTTATCAGTGCTCATAAAATAAGCAGACTATTTCTACCCTACAGTCTTTTGATAACAATTGGACATGCTCTTAAGACTCCCAGCCTTAAAGGAATAAGTATATTGTGACATGATATATGACTGCAAGATACACAAAAGAGAGAGATTATCTCACTCAAGCTTATTTAAACAAGTTATTATTTATTAAATGATAATTTAAAAAGTAATTGGCCTCAGACATCATGTCAGCAAATTATAATTAAAACCCAGTCTGGGGAGCTTCAATATCCTGAAATTTCCTGTTACTGAATCTAAGAGTCCGTCCTCAAAATAGAAAAACCACGCCCATCAAGAACAGTTGAGCTGGAATTTATTAGAAGGTTTAACACTTTCTCAGTTTCTTATTGCACTCCAGGCAGTAATTAGCTCACAGAATAGTTGTCGCACTTGACACCTATGTGCACATAATGAGATGGAAGTTTAGAAATGTTAAGGGAATGAATGTTTAGGAGTGCCTGTTTAAAAGCAGAGGTTTTTGTGCAGAATCGCATAGCAAAGTGGCATGAACTGGAGCGGTTCTAATTAGCAAATAGCTCTAGAGTTTGTATTGATCACATAGTTCCATTTATTACAGTGTTTCCTGTTTGTTTCATCCATTTTCACTGCATGGAATCGATCCTGGCCTTTTAAAGTACATTCTTTTAAAAAGTATTGTGAAGCTGTACAACATCAGCAGCCAACCACTGGTAATAAATGCAATTCAGCATTCATAATATTGTTTAGGATAGGTTGTTCTTCCCTTTAGCCAAATGTGCTTCGGCACTGGGGAGATGCTTGTTGGGGAGTTGCAAGCTGACGCATAGAAAGGTACTTTCATCTTTAGAAAAAGAAAAACACACACAGTAGACCTTGAAGCACACTCACCTGAATTCAGTATGCTGGGGAAAAAAATCTTTCTACAATTCATTACTTGATTCACTAAGTGAATAACTGCTAAAACATTAAAAATAATTAAATTCAAAATTATTTAATTTCAATAGTGGAGTGCACCTAGACCAGTGTTTTTCCAGCATGGCAACCTTAAGATAAGTGGACTTCAACTTCCAGAATTCCCCAGCCAGCATTCTCCCAGAATTCTGGGAGTTAAAGGCCATACATCTTAAAGTTGCCAAGTTTGAAAATCACTTAATTAGACCTTTGACTGAATCTACAGTCATCTTTAGTTTGCTCCTTAATGTGATCCTCTTTTAATATAGGGACATCATCCTCATCCACAGCATAGTTCCCTTTATAGTGGAGAATAGAGGAAGGATCACCTGGTGTCCTACTTTCCATTTCTATTCCACTGCCATTATGTATACTAAAGAGTTAAAGCTGGAAAAACCAAAGGCCACTCCTTTTGGGACTTTCCATGCTAATTACCCACAGTATTGTTCCCCCATGGCTCAGGAAAATTCTGCTCCTCTTGACAGATGCAGAAAAATGTATAAATAAATAATTCATGTCTTTCTCTGTCCCTGCTTTTGCCCACCTTTTCTCCTGGTTTTGCCAGTTGTTTTTTGTTTTGTTTTGTTTTGTTTTTAATGTTGGATGATGCTTAATAAATAAATATCAAGCTACGATTTTTGTTTGCTGAACTGAGTGGTGTGTGTGCTCACTGTGATTTGAATATAGGGGATTGACTGGGAGTGTACTGGGTACAAATTAAACTGGAAATTGCCCACAATAACTTCCCAACATTTCCAAGACTTGGGAATGATTACCGCTAGTGTCAGGCAGATGTCCTAGCAGTGATTTAAGTTCTCTCTGTTACTCTGACAAATGAGAGTGGATCTGCTGTGTAGTTTTTCACCTAACCTAAACCATTTAGAATGAAAAGCGGGAGGGGGGAAACAGAGAAAACAAGAGTAAGGGGCTTGTGGAAAAGCTGGGAATTTAGCTCAGTTTTCAAATGGAAAACAAATTCCGAATTTGCTCAACCCTCTTCTTTATCTGTCTTTTGCTCCTGACTCTGGCACTGTTCCAATAAAAAAGTCCAGTTAATCAGTCTGAAAGTTTCCTGCACAATTCAGTGTTTCTTGTTAACATACAGCAGTTTCTGTGGTTGCTTCATGATACAAAGCCTGCAAAGTTTGTTTCAAACACAGAGATTGGCAGAAGCAGGCTCTGTTCATTACTTTAGCTCAAAATGACTGGGCCTATGTAGACCTAAAAATCTTGTCTGTCTGTCTGTCTGTCTATATCTATCTATCATCTCCTCAATCCAAACAAATTCTAGACTTGGATTAAATTTATCTCTTCTTCTAACCCTAGTGGAGTTCAGCTATTCATATGACACGTGTACACAGATGCAACTAACACCACAGACACGCACAAATGCAGACCCAGAGCTTCTATGTCATGTGTTGCTGCCAAAGGGACCTTGATACTCAAAGTGAGAGGAATGTCAGCTGCAGTCAGACTCAGTCAACAGACGATTTTTAGAATCCATAAAGGTTGAAAAGATGATGCTACTCTTCGGTGAAAATGTATCTGACAAGCCCATTCTGCCCTTCCCCACAAACCGAATAGAAAATAAAGATCATGCATTTCAATGGAAGTTACTTCTAAACAAAACTGACATAATGGATGTCTGAAGAAAACTACATGAATTCAACTGAAATCACAGAAATTCAGCAGGGTAGATCATTTTAATCTCTGCCGTATTAAGAACAGATATCCTTTCATGATTCAAGAAAACCAAGTAGGAAGACAAATCTGAGGAAGCCAGAATGAGTACTCATAATGGTATCCCTGTATTACATCAGACCTCTGTCAACTGGATTAGAGAATGTGTAGTTGGATTCCGTTGTTGAAACTTCCTCAATGATGCACAAAGCAATAAGCTTACTTGAAACCTGGAGTATTTCCAAGAAGAGTAAAATTACTGAATCATTAGGTAAATGTACCAGGAAGTGGTACAAAGCCTAAGACAGTGAAACCATTTTAACAACAAGGCAAACATTCTTTTCTTTGTAAACCTGGACCTAGGATATACAGTGGTACCTCTACTTACGAACTTAATTCATTCCGTGACTCTGATAGCAAGTCGAGTTGGTCGCAAGTCGAGGTAAATTTTCCCATAAGGT